TCTGCACACTTTTGATCTGCACACTTGTGATATAATATAGGAGAGGGAGAGGAGGAAACGGCAAACAATTGGTTACTATAATATAGGAGAGGAGAGGAGGAAACGGCAAACAATTGGTTACTTTATGGATTACTGCATAGACTGACCTCATCTGGTGGGCATAGCACTGGCTGGTTTGACTTCTCACTGCTGTAGAACAGAAGAGGCAGGCTCGAGTGATTAAGAAGCCAGTATGGTGAAAAAAAGACAATTCGCCTATTTCCTGATTTCCTCACCAATCTGATGCCACACCCGAGAACACAAGCACAACAGACTGTTAAGAGAGACGTGATTTCTGAATTGTTATGCAACCTCAGAATGCACGGTACAGGTTTCCTTCATGTGAGCTTGGACTTTGGGAAAAATCCTTAAGAAAAAGAAAAAGAAAAAGAGCTGGTTATTACTCGAATTATTTCCAGCCCTGGACCTCCTGTGTGCACGCACGGATCGAACCAGTGCCCTCAGCCTCAAGAGCTGAGTGAGCGGAGTTTCTTAACCACTACAGTAATGGCACGGTGTACAAAAGTGGAGCCATACCAGTTATGATATCCACACCCCACCCCCTCACCTTATACCATACATCCACAACACCACCCCGGCATCAGTCGCACACTAGGTGATACATGCCCAGTTGGGCAATGTATGTACAGCCAAGGATCCGCAATGTGATGAAAAGGACTGAATGAACAATGCAATGTTAGTGAAACGTCAACAAGCAATGTACACCCTGATACATACGAAATGGCACAAGATAGCGCAGTGGAAGACTTGGATATAAGTCCTGTCCGGACCAGGACTGACACGACATCCCATCATACATCACACATGTGCGAGGAGGAGGGACCGCACACAGAGAAGAAAGGTCCCTCCTTGTACACGCACATGGGGAGATACCACATATGTGAGATGGGGGGAGAGGTGAGACGAAGATGGAGGCGAGGGAGAAGACCAAGATCGCAATGGCGATGTCCAAAAATAGTCCCTTGCCGATGTCCAATCAATGTCTGTCTCAAAAATGTCGAACCAGATCCTGGGCGCAATGCCCACTGTAACCCCTGCCTGTATCCTCTGCCTGTAACCTCTCTCACTCTAGGATCTGAAGAAGAAGAAGAAGAAGAAGAAGATGGAGGAGGGAGGAGGAAGGAGAAGAGAGAGAGAGAGAGAGACGAGATGGAGGAGGAGGAGGAGGAAGAAGAGGTAGCTGCCACCGTACTGACTGTTGTGGTCACTCTGTACAGGTACAGCGCGGAGTCCCCAGCTATGACGCCAGTTATGTTCCCCGCTACAGGTAGGCCTCCGCCTCTCTCTCGACGTCCTACACCTCTACTCCCAGCTTCACAGCATAGTGCTAGGATAGCGCAGCCTTCAACCAGGGGCGTGTCACTCAAGAAGTGAGCAGCCCAACTGTCCAATGCCCAGCCGCTGCCCAGCTATATGTAGCACTGGGCGGGCTGGGCCTACCTGGTGCTGGCCTCAGAAACGGCCAGCCGGTCCGGGTCCCTACCGGACGGCCAGACCATGCTGCTGATGCAGCAAGGCGTGAAAACGCGCCTGACCTCAAAACACACGAGAGCATCGAAGGCCACACCTAGCTAATGAATAAGCACTGGTCACCGAGAAGGGAAGGAGCAAGGCTCAGGCCAAGGGAATATACCCCTAGAGGCGATCCGCCGAGCCACCACTGGGCAAAATTAATTGCAGCATGGAGGGAAGCACTACCACAAAGGAGGAGGGGACCAAACTCAAACGAGGAAGTTTTACGCCAACCCTAATAGATCACCATGAAGTACCCTGGACACTTCTAGGAAAGGATAATAGATGGAGGGTGTGGGTGGAAAAAGGCATATGGAAAGTAGCACATCTATGGGATGACGGAAACCGAAGATGGAAAATGGAAAAAGAACTAAGACCAAACTTGCGGGGGGTACATAATTTACAAAAGAACCTTGAAGAACTGATAGACAGCATACCAATAGCCTGGAGGAAAAAGGGACATTGGGCAACCTTAAAAATCCAAAACACGCCCTCAGTAGCCATTCGCTTCATCAAACAGTCAGCGACTGACGGAGATATAGCAACCTTTGAGGTCCATGAGTTAGAAGTAACAGGGAAGGCAATCACAGAAGTGCGAAGAACCTCACTAATAAAGCTGGAATTCAACACCCAGGATCTGCGGAGAGTCTAAGAATTGAAAGAAGAGGAGAGGAAAAGTGAACAACCCCATCTGGCTGTTCAGGCCGGACAAGGACAGTGGATAGCATTGCACGAGTACACAGTTGAAGTGGGTTACAAGTCCAGATGCAAGGCGGAAAATCCACTCCCAGCAATAACCACAAGGTGGGCGAAGGAACTCCAAATAGACCCAAGCAGACTTAGTTCAATCCCGTGGACCTACTATTCCTCAATTAAACCACAAAGGATAAGAACTACTAAGAAGCTAATAATATATCACGCACTACCGGTAAATGCCTGGCTGGACAAAAGACGGAGGGAGGAAGAAAGATCACCAACATCTGCAATGTGCCAAATGTGCACGGGGCATCAAATGGAAATGTTAATCCACTGCCTATTAGACTGCCAACACGCCTCAGCCCTATGGGACAGGTGCAAAAGAGTTTGGTTCAACATCACCACCTCAGGCTTCCCAACAGACCAGTTTCTCCTGCTCACGGCCTTGGATCTGGGAAACACGGCACCGGAAGGGAATAAGGAGTTATTGGAACTGATGAGGAAAACCACACTATGGGTAATATGGAAAGCAAGATGCGGGGGAACAGTAGGAAAAAAGAAAATATCCACGAATGAATCCTGGGAAGAGGCCAAAGAATTAATGGAAACGGAAATCAGAGTAGAATGGAAGCATACACTAAGGAAAATAGACAAAGAAGAGGACACCCGAAGGAAGAATAGCATGCAAAAAAAAATTGAAGAAACATGGTTGAAAGAAGGGTTAATAGCGCAAATAACAGAAAGAGTGATCTGCTTTATGAAATGGTGCGAGCCATGCACGGACAGGCAAAGAATAGAAAACGGAGAGACGGAACCCATGGACCGAGACGAATAAAAATCCCTTGGACCAGGAGCAACAAGGAAAACCAGGGAGGAATCCCCTCCCCCCACATGGAATCAGGATAGAACGGAGAAAGCCAAAATAAGGGGAGGAAGGCCTAGGGTTTAGCGCCGCAAAGGGGACACCTAAGGGAAGGAAGGCTAGGGCTTAGGATTTAAGCAGAGGCATAAAAGAAAAGTGCACAAGGACCCGAGAGGGCGTAGGAAATATAAGAGAAGAGAAGAAAAAAGAACCCCACTGTACGGGTATATACATAAGAATCGGCTAAGAAAGGGCAAAACCCTCTAGGAACCTTACTAACTTAGCAGGATAAAATAAAAACTACAATCTGCGAGTAACAGACGACCCGAGTAGCCTAGGGTTTAGGGTTTAAGAGAAGGCAGAAGGCAGAAACAACACTGCGACAGCCCAAAAGTTGAGAGAGAAGGAGGAAAGAAGATAAAACCCCACAGAGCTCAAGAAGTGAGCAAGTTAATACGAGTTCCTTGTTAGGATCGGGTAGAGCTGTGTAGAAACAATTTTTAAGCAAACCCTTAGATGCCAGCCCCTGACATCAGCTCTAGCGATCAGGTTTATCCGACAGAACTCAGCTGAGAGGAGCTAGGAGCCAGGCGACTCAGAGGATCAGAAGGTAGTGGATATAGGCTAACTTACGCAGGGGTGAGGGGTGGTACATCCTTCCCTAGGGAAGTAATCAATGCCGTCCACTCGGGCCTCTCAACCATAATGGGGAGGAGCGTGCGCGTGTTTTCATTGTATTCATATTTGACTTGCCGGGGGAACAGGATCCGGACTGTTGCTCCCCAGAATGGCAGGAGCCAGAACCGAGGGGTTCTGTATTTTTCTATTAAAAAAAAAAAAAAAAGTGTACAACAGCTGTTAAAATTGGAACGGTACAGAGAAGATTAGCATGGCCCCTGAGCAAGGATGACACGCATAAATGGAGAAATGGTCCAAATAAAAAAAAGGAAAAAAAAAGGTGTACAACAGCTTTAACAAAAGAAAAAAGAAAGAGAAGCGTAAAACACTGTCTGCTTTGGTGCTCAAAAGCTAGACAGGTATTGAACAGCACGAAGAACCTGTGCAAAAGGGCTACAGACAAAGGATTGCCAGATGACCTCTTACACGGCTTTAACAGGAGCACTGACACTGAAGGGGTGGCCATGTTTTGAGATCAAAATTTCCCAAAAACTGTGGCAAATCTCGAAAACGGGATGTCAGGAAACTATCATAGTTGCGGCGCATGACGGTGCGCCGGTTTGCGCACGATTTGCGCAGGTAGCGCCGCGCACCGCACAGCGCACCGTGGCGCCCCACACAGCAAAAAATAGGGTTTTTTTTTAGGTTTTCGTTCGGAGGGCGGGCCCCCACCCCGGCAAAAATGACGGGCGGGGTGCGCGACTCGGGGATCTGGCCGCGCCCCGCCTCTGAATTTTTTTTGGGGAAGGGCCTGCCAAATTCAAAATTTCGAATTCGGCAGGCCCTTCCCCAACAAAAGTCTTTGGGGAAGGGGGACGGCCGTTTTCCCGGAGTCGCGCGCCCCTCGCCATTCGAATCTTCACGTCACGAAGGAGGGAGGGATAGACACTGCGAGGGGCGTCCAAGAAGCGAGCAACGAAGGCGGGGAGCAGGGGGGGGAGGGCGACGAAGGTGGGAGAAGCGGGAGACCGACGAAGGAGGGAGGGAGGGACACGGCGGGACACCATCGGCGTACGGCAGCTGCAGGACACCATCGGCTCGAAGCAGCAGTGGGAAGAGGCAGCGGGCAGCGGGAGACCGGCGGGCAGACATGAAGGTGGGGGCCCACCACCTGTCTCTCTCTCTCTCTCCCTCTCTCTCTCTCTCTCTCACACACACACACACACACACACACACACACACACACACACACACACACACACACACACA